AGCGCCATTAGGAAAATTGAGTCGAGTTTCAATTGACTGCGGTTAGAATATTGATTACATTCCAAATTATAAGCGCTTACGTAATTGATTAAGGGTTGGTGGTTACTTAACGTTGTATGTATAGCTCGAATTGGCACTTCCTTGGAACGCGTGTTAACTTAAAAACTAGCTCGGAGAAAACGATTAATCATGTCGGAGCCTGCTCTTCAAAACCTTAAATTATAAACTTCTAGTGCCTGACACTGGCTTCCGCCGCGTTCTCAGGAACAAAAGTAGCTGGCAAGCTTTTAATTTTATCTATCAAACAAGATTTTAATCTATCTCTGTACAAAATTTCATTTAAAAAGTGCAAGCAGTCTAAACATATGAACACGCGTGTATTGTCGGGATATTCCTGATCGCTGGAACTTGGATTCTTTTATTTTACTTTGAAAAATATTTAAAGTTATTTCACCTATGTATGAGAATAAATAAAAAAATGCTAATATGGTACACTGTTCATACGAGTACATCGTACATCCTTACAAATACATTCAACGAAAAATATTAGCACATAATATTCATAAGTGTACCAAAAGTTGAAATGTCAACCTTTACATAACCAATTAACCACCTAGCTAACATTTTTGACGATTGATTTCTTCAGAATATAAATACAGAGTCTAGCAACCGTACAACTACTTCAAAATCACTATCAGCTGTATACTATACATAAAACCGGCTGAATACTACACTGTACAGTGATGACACGTTGTATCTCCTCGTAAATCGCTTTTTGATGTTCATGTCGAAGCAACGTCACATTATACTTTATCTATGGAGCGTTTCAATACTAGAGGTACATAAAGTGGGCCAGTGAACTTGTGACAAATCGAGCCACGCCATTAGGACAACTCCAACCGAACGCGTCGACGATGACTAGCCGTATATCATTTGTTAGGTATTTAATAATATTTTTTTAAATTTCGCAACAGTTTACAAATTAATACTTTTAGTTTAAGCGAACGATGTAGACGGCATTTCTTATCTGATTTCTTTAAGAAAAAATGAAGAGACTAACTAAGATGTACCTTGAAAGTTAAGACAAATAAAAACATAAAACATGTTTCATTAATTACAATTTCGTAAGTATTAATGAATAACACTTTTACAATGGTCTTTCTATAAATTATGTTCTCAATATCTATTTAGATTTGATAATGTACTGAATATCTCTGTCAGATGTGTTAATTTTTGCACCCAATGAATTGGCTGTTCACGTTTTTACTACTACTATCCGCGACTTAATGTCGGTACAACATGGCTCGGTCGGTATAGTGTAATATTTCATTCTCCTTATCTTTTTACACCCTTATGTTTAAAACATTCATAAAAGAATAAAATTCACAACTTTATATTCACAAACAACATTTACATACATACATTAAAATATAAAATTCAAGTGTCGACGTCATAAAACTAGTGTTTTTCAACATTCATTTTCTTTACGCGAGAAGAGGTTAAGGCACCTCTTAAGCATCATACCATGATCAAACAAGAGAGTCTTTTAGAAGTCGAAGGGTCAGTTAAGTATTTAACTTCAAAGGCGTTCAACAAGATAATTGAGTGTCATCTTAAGTTCGGCTGTTCGTAAAATTCGAGTTCAAATGTCAACTGCTTATGAATGGATCATTCATTTCAATAAGTGACCGATAAATATATATTGATATGATTATTCTTGTACTAATAATTTTTTATACTTAGAATTATATTTTTAGATTTACATCGAAAAGCCTAAACTAAAAACTAAGTTGTTTTTTTTTATATAAAACGTTGAAAAATTACCTAAGCAGAAGCAATTGGCGCCAGCCATGGACACTCATTATAACAGTGTAGTTACGTGTACGTTGCTGGCTTTTTGGGGACAAGGGTTTCGGAGATTTAGAAGTAGAAGGAGGAGGAGGTGCAACTAAAATTAAAATGATGACGATGAGTGCGTAAAATACAAAATTATGAAATAACTCCAATGTGCTTTACATTCACACACAAAAAGCTTATACGAGAACAAAGCCAGTATGTATACAAAATAAAAATAATTTCTTCGATTCCGTACAAGAGGAAATTTGTATCACTTTTCTGTAATTCAGTTGTAGCTACCTCTTTCGTTGGTAACGTGATTCCATAAGCACAAATTTAATTTGCCGAAAGATCTTTCAGCAAGGACATAACTTCGATCCGAGTCGGAACAAATATTTGTATGATACAGACATTTGTTCCGGGTTGAGGAGCTCGTTTATGGTGTCAGATAAACACACTTTTCTCATTTAATTTTCCTTATAGATTTCTGCTATGAAGATTGAAAATATGAAAATAACTTGGACTTTAATTGATATTCTGTTCTTCAGTGTTGTAGGTTGATTTTTTATACAACAAAAAATCTTTTAGAATGTTAACAATAAAAACAACCGTTTCACACATCATTAGCCTTTAAGTGCCCACTACTGAACAAAGGTATCTTACACGAAGGTTTGAGCATTAATCACCAAGCTTGCTCAAGGCAGATTGACAATTTTATACTTAAAAATTATAAATTCAGGTTTCCTCGCGATAATTTCCTTTACCATATGTGACATTGGTGAGGAAAACCAACCATTTACGAAGAAAAAATATCTATAAATAAATAAATACGTATGGCAACAATGTAAACAAAACAACGCGTCGTATCCACGTTAAGCTTTACAAATGTGTTGCTATCTACAGAACGCCGCCATTTGTCTGTCGGTCACCACATCGTGTCGCGTCGTCGTGAACTGTCTCCAGATCCGCGATAGAAGCATCTGATATCGAGTGACGGATTTATTACTTCAACTAAAGTAACGTGCTTTTAAAATCGATCGAGGACGCGCGATAAGCCTTGTTAAAAAGTAGACGAGGACCATCGGCCATTACAATGTCTGGCTTAGTGGGAATAAATCTCTAGATTTCATTGTCTTTGTAATATTTGCATGTTTTTGTTGAATGGTTACATTGATTGTGTTACAAGGATTATTTTGTAATGTATTCGTATAGTATTCTCTTTTGGAAAACTTCGATAAGTTTAGTACGCGAACACAACCTACATATGTATTTCATTTAGTGGACCTTCCACCCATCCGATCCTCAATCATCAAATCTCTTACACTTATATCCCTAATAACCTTTAAGAGGTCGGCAACGCACTCCTTTGGTATTGCGAGTGTCCATGCGCCATATATATCATCAGGTAATCCGTCCGCCCTTATGCTGATCAATGCCATAAATAAAAAAAAAATACAGTTTGTCTACAGCTATGTATAACACGTGATAGTTATGATTTTCCAATGTTTTTATAGTCCATAAATAAGTCGTTAAACTTGACTAAGTTGGCTTTACACTTTACACTTATTATATATTTTATTTTGCAGTTACTATACAAATTTAAAAACATTCTAAGTCTAAATTAAAAAAACAAAAAATCTCTTTTTCAACTTACAAGCACATCCATAACACTCAACAACAAAGATACGTACAAGCCATAAAATAATACACGCCATTTATAGCCAAAAAAGTGGATAAAAGTCTGTCCGTCCGTCACCACTTTAGTTCAATCTCTCGGGAGTCGATAGCTCCACTCAATAGCAAGTGATCATGATGGATTTATTACTACGGCTGAAGAAACTTTATCCACCCACTGATGTCACGGATATTGCGACCTCCTCGGTATGTCGAAGTTCTAGTATGTTAGTTTTTGTTCCAATGTTTCAAATGTGAGTCAGTATTAAATCTCAAACAGATATGGGTTGAATGATTGTATTCTATCAATTCACGTTGCTAAGCCAACTCCCAGTTTCTGAAAGGCTCTTGTCAGCTGTTAAATCTCTTGGCAGATGTCAATTGAATTCTCATACTTGATTTCATACAAGAAGGCTATGTATTGCCATTTAGTTTTTTAAATTGCTAGAGTTGTAGTGACTATATAAACGTGTTAAAGTTTCGATTGAAATATTAAAATGTAAAATGTGTTTATAAAAAATCGATACCTACATATATTCAAGAATTACTTTAAAAAGACAAAGTGTTGTTTATTTTTAACATAAAAATGGCTATATTCGATGTGGGATAGGTTTGCTTCGGCATAAATTCATGACTGAAACAAAATAGCGGCATACAAACAGACGGATCAAGTGATGGACGCCGCAACACTAGAGCAAGAAAGCAAGTATGTCATGCCTTTTATGGATTAGGGATTTGAGGATTGGATCCTTATAATATTAAATAACCCCACCCCATGTGGGGATATTGGGCGAAGCTTACACAGCGAAACACAAGTTGCAAGTTTAATTTAATTATTTCACACCAGTTTACTGCGAGGCCGTGATATCAACCTAGTCGAGCCGGCCCATTCGTGCCAAACCATGGCTCTCCCACACTTTAATACTTCGACATTATACTTCATTAGTCCTTAACCTATCACAACCTTGCCACCGACCTTCAAAGTCACCTTCACTATGATAAATAGACGAATATCGCAGAACTATTGATGTCTATTACAAGCAATTTTATCAATAGTATAAGAGCGGTATAAAATGTAATATGTACGGCAGTATATCATAGTGGCCTACATCAGCAATAACCTACAAATCTTTGATATATGACGCTAAACGATTACGTTCGCATTACAATATACATAAGTACGTGTATTTCCCTTACGGAGGTAGGATTGAACTTGTTTTGCGAAATCACGTACTTACCTAGTAGTCGACTTCGTGTCTTCGAGTTGGTTACGTCACCAATTTATTCGATTTCATTTTTTGTTATGATTCTAATTTTAATACTTTTAACCTATGGATACGTAGGTTTCTGGATAGGGCATCATCATCATCATCAATCAGATAATAGAGAAAGAGGTCACTGCTTCATCGTGAGTATCCCACTCACATCCACGAAGCGATTCGCCTCCAGATATTTCGTCAGATCTGTTGCGAAGTGAAATTTTGATCTGGATGTCTTCAAGTCCCAAGCGGATTCCGCGAGTGCCTCAAAGAGCCAATAGACCACCTCCGATGGGGCCCTATAGAGCTGATGTTCAGCCGGGGTTGCGGGTTAAGCGCAATGAGTTACCGCGACCTCGGCCCAGAGCAGGAGAAGGAACAGGGGGGTTTTTAGTCAGTAAGTCTGACACTCTCTCGGGACGAGAGAGGCTATTTGACGATTTTTCCCTGACAAAAAAAAATTTCTTCAAGGCCTGTATAGGCCTGTATCAATCAATGATTTTTCCCTGACAAAAAAAAATTTCTTCAAGGCCTGTATAGGCCTATATAAGGCCTGCAGCAAAGTGGAAGGGTTGCGTAAGCAACCTACGATGGAGCAAGCCTATCCTTACGGATAGGCTTGCTCCATCGTAGGTTGCATCATCGCTTATCAGCAAAAGCAGCGAGGACAAATAAAGAAAAACACTTCATCAGCTTGTAAATGACTCATTAACGAGAACAGAGCTTCTCTCATACGAAAGAGTGAAGATTAATTCAAGTTAATGCGTTTAATAACAATCAGATTATTTAACTCCTATTTCACAGTACTGACAACATAATGAATTATGAATTTAATTTTAAAGATACTTGTTTTTTAAACTTTGATCCACACTAGAATTTTTTCCTGTGTCGCGGGTGCGGTTACAAATGTACAATTTCACATACACATCACACCTAGCCCGGGAAAAAAAATTTGTTGATCACACAAAGTGTTGTTCCGTGCGGGAATCGAACCCGCAACAAGTTGCACGGCAGCCACCGCACCAACCGTGCAGTCAAATAGTGCAGTGCAGTGAACATTTATATTTGAATGTTCGAATATTCACGTTCACTCATACAAAACTAAATAAAAAACGACTTCTAAAATAGAAACTTATCAAACTAACATAATACATAGAGACCAGCCCCAAAGCGCTCATTTAACAGCTCTAAAAGCTAACCAAAGTACGTAATCAAATGCCATCTCCGATCTCCAAGCGATTGGGTATCGATAAAATTAGTGCTCCGACCATTCGGTGCTATCGAGTTGATCACTGAAGTTTTAACTAGAGATCGATTCGCCCACCAGTCGATCTGTGGCTTACCCTACAAACGATAGCCAAACAAACTTGGCTATGTACTATACAATTATTGCTGGCTGTACAATCTGTAATGATATTCAAACTATGTTCCTATGTTCTGTAAAATGGTTGACTTATTGTACAATTGTTAATGATAAGCAAACACTGTTATTATTAAATTGGTTCGTCAATCAATATCCTAACTAATTGGGAACGTTGAACTTTGAGAATTGGGTTAAATAATAGGGATGTTGAATATTTTTCGTTATTGAGTACATCTGTTACTTACGTCTGACCTAGGTACGCTAGGTACTAGTATTTTATTTACGGATTTTGGAAAGATTGGGGTAGGGGAAGGGTAACCTTGCTCACACGGCGAAACACAACGCTGCGGTTATTTCACGCCGGATTTCAGTAAGGTATCATAATGGGGCATATAAAAATAAAAATGTAAAACATCTTACCTCATACGCGTATGAAGCGGAATGTAAAGTATTCGATGAATTTTAAAATATTATTTTACAGTAATCAGTTGAAATGCAGAATATACTATCACCATTCGAGCTCAAAGAATACATATACATATATTTACTTACATAATATTAACAATGGGTAAATAAAATATGCAAATACACACGGAATTTTGCAACAGAACATTCGGAAAAAATCTATAAGAGATGAACCTGCCCAGATGATAAAACGTTTAATAAATGTAGCTGTATTTTCACTGTTCATTTAATTCGTCGAGCAAATAGCTCTGAACACTGGAATGATTGCAAACGAATTAATGTTTTTATGAAAGTATTATGCGAGCCGATATTTCCCGTGTTATTTAGCCTCGGCATTCAAGCATATATGTGCTTGAATGCCGAGGCTAAATAACACAAACAACAAATCTGTTATAATGAATATATACATATTTATTTATGTGATAAGACGACGGAGGAGTTACGAGTGCGTTGCCGACCTTTTGGGGATTAGAGATTTGAAGATTTTGGGAATGAGGAGGGATTGGGGGACGGGGAGAACTGGGCCTCCAGTAACCTCACTGACACGGCGAAACACAACACTGTGGTTGTTTCACGCCGGTTTTCTGCGAGGCCGTGGTATTACTCCGGTCGAGCCGACCCATTCGTGCCGAAGCATGGCTCTCCCACACTTATATTATATTCTGTTGTGTATATATGCACTTGCTTATACATATTATGTACGAGTTTATCAAAGTGTATTTATTTGTTTTTTTTAAATATACATAATTTCGCTTATAAATAGAACATATTGTAAGATTAGGAAAATTCATGTTTGTTCTGGTTTCATTGCAATTTATAAGATAGTCTTTGATTTATCTGTACGTCGATTCTATAAAATTTGTTTAATTTTGAATCGTGTTCGAGTGCGAAGTGAGCGTTGAAGTGACGGGGACATTAAATTTAAGAATGCCACTTTTAACGTCATCTCATACTTTATCTATCAAAATGTTGCTGTCAATTTAGTTCAACTCGCAAGTGTAGCGCTAGTGTACTAACTACTACTCACGGCGGATTCAGATTCGAAGTTCAGAATGAGGTCTTACAGAATCACACTGCTGAATATTCCATTCATCCATACATTACGTAGCAGGATGGGTGAAATTACCACCATTTTTCACTTACACATCCCACCCACACTCGGTATCACAATGTGTGAACACACAAAGAGTTATTATTACCTAATTAAGTGACACGTGTAGCATTCAATCCCCCAGCTACCTCGTCAATTGAGTGATCATCATCTTCGTTTCAAACAAAGTCCTGATATGCACACTGACAATAATCATGAAATCATATCTCATTGCTTACATATTTAAAATCAAAACATAAATTTGGTGAAAAGTCAAAGTCAAAGTCAAAGTCAAAGTCAAAATCATTTATTCCAACTAAACCATAAACAGGTACTTTGAAACGTCAAAATAGAGAAGTAGTCTGTCAGACTGTTCGTCAATGAAGCTAGCTCATTCCAAATTGTAGGTTCGAATGGAGAAGAACGTGCAAGATACTTCATATAGTGTAAGTGTTTTAAACCATAAATAAAATATCAAAACTACGTTAGAAAAACGCAATATTAAAAGAATTTGTGCAGCTACACTGTTAATCTGACAGTCATCATCATCATCAGCCTGTAAGTGTTTGAACATAAATCACCAAACTTGTTCAGAGTGGACTGGCGATTTCAAACTTAATTAGAAATTATAAGTTGAGGTTTAGTTGTTTGTCAGCGGTGTATAAATAAGCTTAGAAAATACATATAACTCGGAAAAGTCACAAAAGTCAAAATCATTTATTTCAATTAGACTACAATAGGCACTTTTGAAAGTCAAGCAAAGAAAAAAAGGAGAAAAGTATTTCAAGAGCTTTAACTTTAAGCGTAAGTCTGTCCGTCTGTCCTCTAGTGAAGCTATTTACTCGTTCCAAAGTGTAGATTCCTATGGAGAAAAACGAGCAAGAAACTCCAAGGTTACTCTTTTTCAATCTGTTTTACAATTCATTTCTTCGTTACATCATTTAGTCTGTTCTGATAATGTGAGAACAGTGTAACACTAATGTTTAGGCAAAGAATCCGAAAAAGAAGTTAACCTCAAGCAAAACATATTTAGACAGCCAGCCTGAAGATGACCAGTCCCAATAGGCGGCGCCACATTGGGACTTGCCAGGTTTTGAACCATCATGCATGAGAAGTGGGCGCTCTGATGTGACCACGGTATTTTGCCTGAATCCGACAATACCTAATAGGTGTTAACTCCTCAACTGGTAAGGAAAACATTAGAAACACAGTTTGTCTCGCGAATGTTTGCATTGGTACTTGTAAACGAAGTGGAAATAACAATAACACAAAACTTGTTACATTTAGATTAAACATTTACTTAGTAAAACAAATAGTAACTGTGCTTGAACAGGTGAAGCCGCGGTGCATTGTATGATTAACCTAAATCCGTGGAACATCTGGGTTAACTAAAATAATGGAATGAATGCGTGTTGTGAAACTAAAACGGGCTAAGAGTTTGTGCAGGTATAAATGTGTTTGTAGGAAACATAGAAACGTAATAACAAGGCTTTTGTTCGTGAAATAAACACACAAATAGATATTATTAAGTTGATAATATCCATATTTTTTGTCTAATGGTTAATTTAATTTAATTGCAAGAGTTTACATGTTTGTACTTTCTGTTCGTTTTTTAAATACTTACAATTTTATTGTGACTAATTATGTGTATTGAATTTATATGTTGGCTGTCCTACGTCACGACGCGCACGCAACTCATGAATAAGTTTCCCGTCGTGACTTGAAAGTAGTAGAGCTTTCTCATATAATTCAAGCGAGTAGGACATTGGTTTCAATAAACTCTGCTATTATAATTGAATGATGATGTCGTGGTGGCCTGGGATGATGTCGTGGTGGCCCGAAGGGTTCGAAACCTGGGAAGTACCAATGTGAGTTTTTCCGAGTTATATGTACTTTCTATGATTATTTAGACACCACTCACATACAGTGAAGGTAAACATCGTGAGGAAACCTGTCTAATTATAAGTTTGAAATCGCCAACCCGCATTGATCATGCGTGGTGATCAATGCTCTAACCTTCTCCGTATGAGAAGAGGCCTTTGCTCAGCAGTGGGCACTTATAGGCTGATGATGATTATAATTGAAACCAGAACCCTTGCTCTCTATATAGTACAGTGCTTCGTCCGCTTGACCCACGAGACCAATAATTAAGTACTGTACTCACAGTCATTTAATGAGTACTTAACCCAGCCCTTGCATGTGCAAACACAATAATGAACCGAGGCCCCGGCCCGGAGCAGAAGAAGAAACGAGGTGGTTTTTGGACACTAACGGCCTTATGTTTAGTCCAGGGTTAAACCATTGAGTCAGTTTTTGTATTTCGAATTCAATATAGGTGAAAATGAAATTCAAAATTCAAAACTCGACTCAATGGTTTAAACCTGGACTAAAGATAAATCTTGTTTTGTAATAAGGGGGTAAAGGTCCAACACTCTCTCTCGCTCCACCCGTAGCGGGAGAAGTCATTTCGCGATTTTATCCCCCAAAAAAAAAAACGTATCTAATTAACGTTACTAAAACATAGTGTGGGAGAACCATGCTTTGGCACGAAAAGGTCTGCTCGACCGGAGTGATACCACTGCCTCACAGAAAACCGGCATGAAACAACTACAGCGTTGTGTTTCACCGTGTGAGTAAGGTTAGTGGAGGCCCAATTCTTCCCCTTCCCCAATCGCTCCTCATTTCCAAAATCTCCAAATCGCTAATCCCCAAAAGGTCGACAGCGCACTCTTGAGTCCTCCTTCGTTGCGGGTGTCCATGGGCGGTGCTAATTGTTTACCATCAGGTAATCCTTTTGCTCGTTTGCCGACTAACCACATAAAAAATTGTTTAAATAAATCATTAAGTGTCTGCGAGTTAGTATAACTTTAAAACATAAATAATATTAGAACATAACTAAAAGTCTTCAAAGTGCTAGTTAGATAGTGAAGGGCACGAAATAAGCCAGCTATCGACATCGATACGGTGACTCAATAGTGGCGGGCGAGTAGATGTCCAATGTCCGCATATCCGCATGTCTGATCTGATACTGACGACCAGTTAATCGCATTACGGTTGTGTCCGGACTAACTGCGGATATTTTGCTCGTATTGTACCCGCCATAGAGGTGCGTCAATGTTAGGGAAAATGGATTAGATGTTTTTATTTTACTTTTAGTTTGGTCTTGATCGGGTAGTGGTTGGGGTGTTTTAGTTGTAATGGGGTTGTAATGAATGGCGATTCCATGTGTGATATTTAAGCACTAGGTCTCTGGTTTTTGTTATTATATCTAGGGTCCGAAATTGTCAGCTCTGGAATAAACAGCATGAATGAAAATCAGCTTAATCAATACAGTAATAAGTCTGAAAATAAGAATTTAGTAAGATTACATACCAAAAAAAATTACAAGAAATTAACCGATTACTCAAAACGCCGAATAAAAAACGTTAAATGTAGCAAACGTATAAGTCAGTCAAATATCGATAAATCCATTTGTTTACTTAGCATGCAGACGGCGAACGTCGACAGGCAGACAGACTCGATAAAGATACAGCAAGTAATTAAGCACATCCCTATTAACAAACAAATTGTTTGACGATCATTTATTTTGTAGACGTTAGTGTACTTTATTTGTTTTTTTTTATGTAATTGATCGGCAAACGAGCATACGGATTACCCGATGGTAAGTAATCAGCGCCGCCCATGGACACCCGCAACGGAGGAGTTACGAGTGCGTTTCTGATCTTTTAGGGATTAGGGATTTGAGATTTAAGGATTGAGGAGGGATTGGGGGTGGGGAAGGATTGGGCCTCCGGTAATAAGAAAGAAAGAAAGAAAATAAATTTATTCTGCCACAGTGTAGGGCACACGAAAATCACAAACATAAAGCAAAAAATAAAAGATTCAAAAAATAAAAAAAAAACAAATTAAAAATAGAATAAAAAGAAACAAAAAGGTACCTAAAATAACCAAAAATTAATAAAAAATAAAGTGTGGTGTGCCTCACAGCTGCGCCAAAAAAGGTTCAGTTCAGCATGTATGCCAGACAACTAGTGCCTGACGCTGGTTTTCAACTGAACCTGAGGTTGTGACGTGACGGACGCAAAGAACAGTTTTTTGTAGTGTGATATATAGTGATACGTACCTACTGAAATATATTAAAAATTAACATCATAATAGAATGTTGATTAGAGAACTGTAAGTGTGATAAATAGGCGTACTAAGATAATGTATTTGCGTGTAGTGTATGAAGTGTGATGTAAATAAATAAATAAATAAAAATAAGAAATAAACAGCAAAACGATGTAATAGCAGGAAAAAATTGAACATATATAGGTAAATCGTAGGTGCCTGGGCGCAATTAGATAATTGAAGTATTTTGCACCACCATATCCAGCTGCCGTTGTGCATCGATTAGGTACTGTCGTAACCGCCTTCTAAATGTGCCTAACGTGTTTATCACTCTGATTGGCGGGGGAATATTGTTCCACACTTTAGAAGCAGCACAACGGAAGCTACTTTTGAAAGCAGCCGTACCGTGAGACCGGGCTGAAAGCTGCTGTGAGCATTGTCTCCTTCCACATTCCCGCCTGCTCGCCAGCCAACTCAACTTATTGAATAAGTAGTCCGGCTTCTGGAGTTTAACCACACCGAACAGAAGGCAAGCCAAGTGCAGCTTGCGTCTAGATTTCATTTTCAGCGTAAAGTGCTTATTAAGATATGGTGTCACATGGGTTCTACGAGGTATGCTGTAACAAAACCTAGCGCAAGCATTTTGTACTCTTTGGATGAGCCGATCTGTACGAGCTAAGAGGCGCGGGCCATACACAGTGTCCGCGTAGTTTAGTCTAGAAAGGACTAGAGTTTCAACCAGCTCCTCTCGCAACGTTTCCGACAAATACGGTCGCATCCTGTATAACACCTTCAGCCGATAGAAACAATTTCTGACTGTGTTCGCTACGTGTTTTTCAAAACGAAGATCGTAATCTCACTCACACGGCGAAACACAACGCTGTGGTTGTTTCACTCCGGTTTTCTGTGAGGTCGTGGTATCACTCCGGTCGAGGCGACCCATTTGTGAAAGCATGGCTCTTCCACACTTAAATTTTCACTTTTGTGTGACATAAAAGGTCTCAGGAAGCTGCTGATTGCATGTAGCTGTTGATCTAGAAGACATTGAGGAAGACCTAAATACAGTGGTTGACTTCTTTTTTTAATATGATGATTAGCAATTGGCACCGCCCATGGACTCCCGCGACACAAGACGAGTTGTAAATACTTTGCTGGCCTTCGGGGGTAAAAAGTTTTGGGTTCAGGGATCGAGGAGGGCTTTCCTTTTTTTTTTTATTCAATTGTTTAGCATCATTATCTGTATGATTCAGCAACTATCTTAAGTCTTTATTATTTCGTTTGTCTAATTTTTATAGAAATAAAAACACATATTTAAATGTACACAGAACATTAAGTCCAGTATCATCTTTAATAAAAATGATAGCACATATAATAAACACTTGTATATATATACTACTGTTCACAAATAACGATGGTCACATGAATTAATAATTTTACTCTTTGTTGACCAAAAGCTTTTGGGAATACGTTTTTCATTTCAATATAACGCACAAATGTTCTCGAATAAAGAGATAAATAAACGGGAATCATCGATTCTTTATCTATTTGTCGCGCAGACAAACATTGTCGACATATCAGTGTAGAGATACGAGCGAATAATAAATCACATCCGGACCGCATCCACTCGCATCCGAATCGGATCCGACCCGATTATGAATGCCGTTTGGACTCGGTAGAATATCGATTATTGGTCTCGATGTGATGAACTTTGAAGAGCTCTTTTTGTTGATAAGCCGAATTGCTCTTTGTGGATTACTTGTTACTGGTTTAATTGGTTTTACTGGCTTTTGTACCTGATACATATATCTCTTTGAACTCAATAATAGTGTTTTAATACTATATTTGAAGTAAATTGAAGTCAATAAGAATAAAGTTTTACGTTCCAATTCCTGATATCGAGTAGTTTTATTTTATTCGTACTAAAATATATATATAAATATAAATCTTCTAATATCCATATAGTCATCAAGACAGAACATTCCAGTCTGCTCCATTAAGCTTAATAAACGCGCTGGGGACATAAAAGAACGAAACATACTTAGCTTTATTATTAAATTGTAATCTATTTCTACATGGCAATGTGCCAACATGGACCCATGAGCTTTAAGTTACCGGGCCCCTATCCTCTTGGGCCCCAGGCACCGTTGTGTGAACATGTCGAACCTTGAGATAGTGGCTTGTCGTAAATCACATGCTTGCCGCCTAACATCTGTATTATAGAACCGTATTAATCAAAGGATACGTATTATGCTGATTGTCAATTGTTCTAAAACAGGTTATCACTACTGAAGTACTGAATAGGAAACAAAGTCGCTTTCTCTGTCCCTATATCCCTATACATATATGCTTTAATCCTTAAAACTACGCAACGGATTTTGATGCAGTTTTATTTAAATAGATGGAGTGTGAAGAGGAAGGTTTAAATGCATAATACCTAACAATAGTTTCTCCTAAAATAAGAATTAAGTTTTACATATGATAATATAAATGGTCTCCTTAAAGCAATTTAATGTCCTACCAGTTTATACTCAAATACATTTTCTGTTATTAAAAGAACAATTTTTCAATGAAAATTTACTAAACAACAATTACGGAGGCCCAATCCTTCCCCTTCCCCAATCCCTCCTCAATCCCTAAATCTCCAAATCCCTAATCCCTTAAAGGTCGGCAACGCACTCGTAACTCCTCCGTTGCGAGTGTCCATGGGCGGCGCTGATTGCTTACCATCAGGTAATCCGTCTGCTCGTTTGCCGACGAAAAAAAAAATATTATTTAAGAATGTTTTCTCCTACTAATTCACACAGAGATTGTATAAATTAATTTCGATAATAACGTACACATACTTAATTATAAAACTGTAACAATTTTTTTTTTTTTTGATTTGAGATTATTCATGATAGCACAAGTTTAAACCTTTGACGCAGGTGCTTACCGGGCACGGCAGCTTCGGTAGGTTCCTGTTTTGGATTCAGCGGGAGGAAACGCCCGAGTGTCGTCATTGTGAGGACCACCTAGAGGATACGGTGGAGCATACGGTAGCGGTATGCCCTGCCTGGGCTGAGCACCGCCGTATCCTCAGGGAAGTGATCGGCGGCGGCGACCTCTCGCGCCCGGCCTTAGTCGAGGCCATGGTGCAGAGTGAGAGGAACTGGGACGCCGTCTCCTCCTTTTGTGAAGCAGTCATGCTCGCAAAGAGAGAGGCGGCCCGCGTGAGGGAGCAATCCTCCTCCTCACGCCCTAGCAGCCGCAACTGGCGACACTACGGGCGTCGGGGATCGAGGGACGATCTCCGGCCACCGTAAGCACGGGCCTGCGGTCGGCGAGTAAGGGCAGCTCGCCGTCCGACCAGAACCAGGCCCGAGCGTACGGCGCGTAGCGTTCCGCGCGCGCCTCAAAGAGCCATTTGACCACCACAGATGGGGCCCTAAAGGGCTGATGTTCAGCCGGGGTTGCGGGGTAAGCGCAATGAGATACCGCGACCTCGGCACAGAGCAGGAGAAGGAACAGGGGGGTTTTTAGTCAGTAAGAGTCTGACACTCCCTCCTGCCCGGCCCTGGGCGGGAGAAGTCATTTGATGATCTTCCCCTCACAAAAAAAAAAAAAAGTTTAAACCTTAGTGGTTTTTTGGTTACTATTTAACATAAATAATTCTGTAATATTTGTAAAAATGATAAATAAATAAAAAAAAGTCCATTAAATGGTGGAGAAATTTTGTATCAGCATTGCACCCGTGCAAAACAGGGGCCGCTAATTGGAAATAAAGGACAGTAGCGTAGGTAAAACAATATAATATTAGGTATGTAACACCAGGGAAATGGTGAAAAGTAAGTTTTTATTAATTAACTACAACATTTTTATATACTAGGGAGATAATGAAATGGTTTTTTTATGTAATAGGTCGGCAAACGAGCAGACGGATTACCTGATGATAAGCAATCAGCGCCGCCCATGGACACCCCCAACGGAGGAGTTACGAGTGCGTTGCCGACCTTTTCGGGATTAGGGATTTGGAGATTTAGGAACTGGGGAGGGATTGGGAAGGGAAAGGATTGGGCCTCCGGTAACCTCACTCACACGGCGAAACACAACACTGTGGTTGTTTCACGCCGGTTTTCTGTGAGGCCGTGGTATCACTCCGGTCGAGCCGACCAATTCGTGCCGAAGCATGGCTCTCCCACACACACACACTGGTACTATTTATTTATTTATTGTTCCATAACTAAGTTAGAGTTGGAGAATGTATGAATATCCTTAATCTAACCGATTGACACATATTTTATGGTCTTGGCAATTTATCAATATATTTGCTCTGTTGCGATCTTAACTATTCAATGCCACCTAGATAAAACTGTCAATACACAATTTTGTTACTGACATAATTATCTATTAGCGATATTTCCCGAAGACTCCCGAAGGTTTCCGAATGCGTCCTTCTATAAGATAGATAACAAGGCGCTGTGTGGACGTACAAGGAGCTAAGATAAATCTATCCGGTTGAATTCTTCCTCGCCCCTTGCCGACACTTTGAAAAACTTTCTTATAAAGACAGCTTTGTTTATCTAAGCCAATGGAATGTTCGAGAAATGTCTGGATTAAAGAGCGACTTTGTTTAGACAAGTAATAGATTTCTACAGTGTTTTCATTCGGTCTGTTTTTTTAGTTGGAAGTTTTATTTTGACGTAGTAATTGCTTGTAGTGCGCATAGCTCGGAGATCGGCCGATAGGGCAAAAAGGTTTTGAATAAAAGCCATGTACCAGCAAGCGCAGCGTAGGACGGTCACCCAGCAAGTTGACAGACACCCTGATAAGGGTCGCAGTAGACCTCTGGACGAAAGTAATTTTCACCCAAACAATTTTGAACGTGCTGATAGAAGCTCATGTTTTGATTTTCCAATAATTTACGTTTGTTTCCAAGAACGTTTCCCTCCTCGGCTAAGTAAAATCCTCCAGTAAGACTTTTTTTATTATTAAAAAATCTCAGAAATATTTGCAATTTATTTGGGTACTTATATAAAAAAACACAGAATGACAGGACCGGGACCGACCATTTAACGTTGCTAAAAGACAGACTGACAGTGTCCTTTAAGTATATTGATTAATTGAAATAAAACACTCTATAGTGGTAAAGACTCATTGAATAAGTACATTTTCTGCGTTTTTTTTTTTCGGTAACGCTACTTTTTTACAATACATTTTTATGTGATAGACGGATTACCTGATGGTAAGCAACTGTCGGGATTGGGTTTCTGAGATTTAGGAATTGGGAAAGGATGGTGCAAAAAGGAAGATTGGGCGTCCGGTAACGTCACTCTCTCGACGAAACTCGAAGCTGTTTGTTGCAAGCAAGTTTTCTTTAAGACCGTCATATTACGATCAAGCCGACCCACTCATGCTGATGCATGGCTTGTCTTCATGTTATCCCACATTTCATCTCTCAATACACCAATAATAAAAAAAAAACACAAACCCTTTCTCCAAATAACGTAGAGAAACAAACTTTAACTTGGACATAGCACATACATATATGAATAATTCCAATTGTCTGGCAGCCATTGTATTATTGGCATGGATGAGTCCACACTTCACAGTAATAAATAGCCCGAGTACTAGACAAGTCACCCACTTAAGTCCTTATACGCCTAGTTACACTCAAGAGGAGGTAAAGTGATGACGTCATGACCCTTAAGGAGCACCCTCTGTGTGAGTATTAATGATGATCTTGGTAGGTTCTTAATTTGCAATATAGAAGTTATTAAATAACATCCTAGAGCTGAAAAGCAAAATATTCAACTGAAAATCGATAACGTCCTTAATACTGAACCTAAACAAATAGTAAATATATTCAACAATTTTTTTGCATCAATCGGCAAAGATACCGCGAACCTAAGTAACAACCAACAGTGTGATATAACTGTAACTCAGCAGTTAGAGAACACATTTTTCCTTAGACCAGTAGACTACCTCGAAACTAACAAACTAATAAAAAATCTCAAAAATAAAAATAGTCATGGAATAGACGAATTACCTCCATCCTTATTTAAACAGTGCGCTGACGAACTCACTGCACCAATTTGCGTATTAATAAACCAGTCATTCGAAGAAGGCATATTCCCAGATCTCCTAAAGAGGGCTATCGTCAAACCAATTCACAAGAAAAACTCGAAGACGGATCCCAACAATTACCGCCCCATTGCACTCCTGCCGACAGGATCAAAAATTTTTGAAAAAGCTATGTGCGATCGAGTCTATAGTTTTTGCGAGAGATTCAAAATTTTTGATGAGGGTCAAAATGGGTTCCGTAAACATAGGTCAACAACACTGGCAGTTTATAAGTATATTCAGGAAGTAATTAACATTTTAAATAATAAAAAATACGCAGTTGGCATTTTACTTGATATGACCAAGGCATATGACAGAGTGAAATTTGACATCTTACTTAACAAATTGTATAAAATAGGAATTCGCGGAGTTACCCACCAATGGTTTGAGTCATACCTTAAGGACAGAGAACAATACGTTGAAATTGAGTACTTTAATCAAGAAAGCAATGAAATAGTCAGTATAAGGTCGGACAGACAAATTTTAAACTCGTCAATTCCTCAAGGTAGCGTTATTGGTTGTCTGTTATTTCTTATATACATAACGATCTCCCAAAAATTATGAACGAACTCTGTATATTATTTGCCGACGACGTTTCTCTTCTAACATCATGCCATAACGTTACAGAAATAAATACACAATTAGACACCATATTTAACAAAACAACAGAATGGATGGATCAACACAATTTGCAAATAAACTATAATAAAACAAAAATAATGACATTTTACCCCTACCAAAAAGCTCCAATAACAATCAACTTCTCGACTAATAATACAAAAATAGATGTTGTTGATGACTTCACACTACTCGGACTTACAATAGATACTCACATTAACTGGAAGACACACATCCAAAACACTAAATCCAAGCTATCTAAATTTATTTATGCTTTCCGCGAAGTAAAGATAACTACTGACCTACCAACAGCACTGAGTACTTACTACGCCTATGCGCACTGGCGGCTCAGCTACGGTATTCTCTTGTGGGGAAACAGCACTGACGCACCATCACTCTTCATACTGCAAAAAAAACTAATCCGCATACTCACAAACATAGAGCAAACCGAAAGTTGCAAACCCCATTTCCAAAAACATAAAATACTTACGCTTCCATGCATCTACATCTTAGAAATGTGTAAATTCGTTAAGAGATACTCTACCTTCTTTACAAAGCGCGGAGACAGACACACCAACAGATCACTGAGACACAAAAACATGCTTATGCTACCTATATCCAACATGACACTGCACTCAAATAGGTAGCCCATATGTAATGTGCATCAAAATATACAATAAATTACCCAACAAAATAAAAGATGAGCCTAGCGACACGAAATTCCTAAACACCCTAAAGCAAATATTAATAAATAAAGCATACTACACTATCAATGAATATCTTACGGATAAACAAATAACCTGAAAATATAAATTTTATACAAACATAACCATATTAACAAACACCTTTTCTTGCTCAAAACTATAAGTAATATAAATATAATAAATAATATATGAATATATAGATAATATAAAAGTAACTTAAATGTAAAAAACTGAACAATAAAATACTCAAATACTCAATTATAACAAAAAATATAACAATATATAATTAATACAATACAATAAAATAAATATAACAATAAATTTATATAAAATTTAGAACGAATAACCTTATAATATAATGTACAAAATACAAAAATATATATATACCTATTAAAATATTAATATAATAGCAATACTATACATACTTAGAATATGAAATACTTGTGCATAATTCTATACAAAAGAAGCCTGCCTCTCTTCTAATTTACTATTTGCTGTGCCCATCAGGGTCCATGATTGTTACTATACATAATATTACCATCTTATCTTACATTGTGGATGCAATAAAGAATTATGATTATGATTATGATTATGATTAAATAGTGGTGTAACTTATTTATTGGGACTGGAGGGGATGTTGTCCTTGAAGTTAACTTCTTTTTCGGGTTCTTTGCCTAAACATTAGTGTTACACCGTTCTCACATATCAAAACCGACTAAATGATGTAACAAAGAAATGAATTGTAAACCACAATGAGTAAATAGGTGGACTTAATACCTAAGGCATTTTCTACCAGTCGAGCCTTCGGTGATGCAGAGATAAGCCAATGGTTGGTGCAAAAAGCAAGGAAATAGGCTTAATTTTATATGAGACATACGAGATAGATACGTATATATGTGCATATTATTAACATACAAGTTACAATATATAGGTAGTAATAATATATACAAATATACTTACATTTTATAATATAATTCGAGTGTATTTGTATATAACGTGTAGTGCGTCGCAGATGTCGCGACACAGAGAACTCATTTTCTTTTTTCTTCAAACAAAAATTTTCCCTTCCTTCCTCTAAAACCTTAGAATCTTATGAC